CCCCGTGCCCGCTGCCGCTGTCAGATAGAGGAGGAAGGCTATCTTTGGAGGCAAAGAACGAAGTATGTAGAATGCCCTTCTGTCGCCGCGCTGTTGTCCCTGCGGTGATGACGCGCGGTGATGACGTTGCGACTTTAGCGACGCGATTTAATCTCCGCTATTTTGCGTAGCGCCGTTTTGTCGTGCCACGAAATGCAAAGGATGTTAATGTTCCTCATGTCAGGAAAAGGATGGACAGAATTATTCTAAACCAGTGGTTCCCAAACTTGGCAACTTTAAGACTTGTGAGTTGAAGTCCACAAGTCTTAAAGTTGCCAAGTTTGGGAACCACTGTTCTAAACAAGAAACAGAGTTTTGCTCCAAGAAAACTTTTGAAGCATCAAAACTTCCCAGGGAGGATGTAATATTTGTTTAGGTTCTTTTTCCTCAGAATGATGGTAAAATATCTTGGCGGAGTATGTTTAAAATTGAAGGTAGGGTCTTAAAAAGAGTTGCCAGTTCCCAATTTTACAAGCACGTACTCCAGCAAAAAGGAAACACTCACCTTGCTGGCCAGAAAAAAATGATGAACTGATAGATACAGGACAGTACTGCATTCTCCTTCAGCAAACTGTTCAGGCTGAGTTTCTGATCTTAACTTTTGCTTATGGAGAATAGGACAGAGCTTTTTAAAAAGCATCTTTGCTTGCTGTGCTTTTTGATACCCTGTTTCCCTGAAAATAAGGCCTCCCCGGATTATAAGTCCAATCGGGCTTTTGAGTGCATGTGCTAAAATATCTCTCCCCCACAAATAAGCCCTCCCAAAATATTGCAACACAATAGCAGCCATGAGGTGACCACACTCTCCTCCTCCTGCACCTCAAAAATAATAAGACCTCCCCAAAAATAAGGCCAAGCACTTATTTTTTGGGGGGGCAGTCAAAAGACCCTGTCTTATTTTGGGGGGGAAACAATATTTTTAGTTTTGAACACAGATCACTGTTAATATAGAAGATGGCAAATGAACACTTCTCAAACCTATTGCTTTTAAAGGTAGTCTGAGCCACTGCAAATGTTTACATATGCATTTCATTAACACCAGTGAAAACGTTTCCATGTTTTTCCTATTGATCAGGGACCGGACCACAACAGTTGTTAATGTTGAAGGTGACGCCTTTGGAGCAGGTATTCTTGATTATCTGAATCCAAAAGAAACGAAGGAGAAAGACACAGAACTTAGCGATGTCCAGGTGGAAGCCATTCCAAACACCAAGGCTGATGGGGAAACATCACCTCTGGTAACACACAAGGTTCAAGCTGTCACCCCTCCACCATCTAGCTCTCAAGATCCAACATCTAATGATTCAGTCCTATGAATAGGACTGAAAAGAGTGGAGGCCACTTTATGGGCACTGTAATTTAGAAAGTACTTGTTGAATAGAGTCTGAATGGCCCCTGAGTTTAAGCAGGCATGTCCTCTTCCATTCTGATGGCACAGAACACAGTGGTAACAGCCACAGACTACAAAATATGTGCAAGCTTCTATATGTGTGTTTGTGTGTGAGAGAGAAGAGAATGAAAACTTTAGTTGGTACAAAAAGTGCTGCTGCATCCTTATGTGTATATGAGTAACATATGCAAGACAAATGTAGTAAGTGAATGACAGCTATCCTAGACAATTTCTTCTTGCTATGAAATAAAAATTAAAGCCCACTTTATAAGATAGACTGTGAAATTTCAGAGATTTTGGGAATGTCTTATTAACTGAAGTTATACAGGAATGAAATGGAGTTTCTTGCAATTTTACTGCATCGAGCCTGCATGACTGTTTGAAAGATATTCTTAAGGGATCAGTTTATTTTGATTGATATAGTTTGTGGGACCTAACTCTTTATTCTAGTTTGATAAGTCAGAGAAGCAAACCCTTTTGAAGGAGAATAGAATTAAACTAATACGTTATCAGATATATACAGTATATACAGTAGCTAAGGGCCACCAGTCCAGATTAGCCTGAAAAGGACCATTATAATTTATTGCTCTCTTCCTGAACCTTCCTGCATGTCAAACCTTACTGGACCAAAAAAGAAAGCAAGAAGCTGAACCGTTGCCTTTCTCTTCAAAAGTTGGGTTGCAACTTTCATAATTGTTTGTTACACATGAAGTTTAAATTGCTTTTGAGACACGCTCAGCATTTATATTAATGCTTGATTGTTGTTCCTGGAAAGAAATATCAATGAATGGCCAGGATGAATATGTACTACTATTACTACAAAGCAGGAATTGATTTCTATTTTCCTAGCTTGATGTTATGTCTACAGGTGGTGCTGCGAGAGATTATCTTTGTTCTGGATCAGCATATTGTATGGCTTATGGCTTTTAATGTTTTCTGCTTAGAACTGTCCCAAATTGGGTCTCTTCATTGGCAATGGAAGGCTGGCTAGAATTTTCAGATTTGTAGGCCCAATACACCTAGTGGACATTGTAGCTAGAATGATCCTTTTGAGCATTTATAACTGGACCTAAGATAAATTGTTTATCAAAAGGACAAGCTGCATCTGATATGTATTACCCCAAAACCAGTAGGTATATGAATTGTGTTTCTATCAATTCATGAACAGATTAATTCTATGCTTATTTAGTGCCTGGTGACATAATGACCAATATTTTTTTCTTTATGCATAACAAATAAAATCATATTGCAAATGTGGGTAGAATATATATATATAAAACATCCAGTGTTAAGCTTCAAATAGTTTACATAAAAGTACATTTAAATGGGTGCTTAAATGTAGCCTGGTAACAATCATGAAGCTTCATTTGTTGCTTTTCCCTCACTCCACCATTACTTTCAAGAGGATATGTGTTGACAACTAATCACACAATTCTGGTCTTTAATCTTCTTGCATAAGAGATACTATTCAGACATTTTTCTGGCAGTCAGAAATTATTTAAAGTTGTTTGGAATATTACCTGTCTTTGTCCCAGTATGAAAATATTTTTCAAAAGGATATAATATGTTATAATTTCCCACCTGCAAAAATAACCTTAAAGCCCTGGGCAGGAAAAGACAACTCACCTGGTGCCTCCCAGATGGGCCACAACTCCAGTTCCCAGAATTCTTAGCATGTTATGTCATTTGTCCTAATTTGCCATTTTCAATCTGATGAACTCCAAATTCAGAATATACAGTAAAGTAAATGGAATTAATCCAAATCAAAAAAGGAGGAGTAATAGTCAGATTTTAATCATAAACACCTTTGGTTGAAGGGCAAGGGATTGTTTTGATAAATATTTACCTTTCCAGAAACAACAACTGTTGTCCTTATAAATTATAAAGCAACTTTATGTAACTATAAAGGAAGCCTTTTGAATGGGTTATATGTTTATCCCACTGAACCCATTCTTTCAATGTGAGCACATAATAAATATAGTAGTATCTTTTTCTCTTCCTGTATTAACCAGACAAACACATTATGAAGTATTCTTACCAATTGATGTAGCAAATGCTGACACAGGAATCTCTATTCTTTGGGCAGGCCAGTCAGTTAAACCTGACCTGTTTGTATTGCTGCCAGTCAGAATGGCAGATCCTCTTGCAACAGAGTCATAATCTAGATAATCCTATTACTTTTCAGTTAGATAATCATTAAGTCATAAGATTGCATCTATCCTTTGTTTCAGTTGCTGAGCGTACATTTTCAGGAAACAGGCATTCTTACAAAGGAGAAGTTTTGAGCTGGCTGACTAGATTGACTTGTAGTGGTAGAAAAGCATTTAGCTTCCTTTACAACAGTGTTTGTCACATTTGGGAACTTTAAGATGTGTGGACTCCATCTCTCAGAATTCCTCAGTCAGCTGGCTAGGGAATTCTGGAAATTGAAGTCCACATACCTTAAAGTTCCCAAACGTGAAGAAAATACTGTTTTAGAGGATCTGCTCATAGAGAAAGAAAATATTTCTCTTTATCCTGGCATCATTTTGCATCTTGTTTTGGAATTTGTGAATTATAATCCATCTTGCCCACTTGCATAGGTGTGCAGGAAATAATTAATCAGCACATAGAATACTGATTTACTTCCTGCAACAGATTTAGCACACTTTGAGCAGTAGTTACAATGTTTGTGCAGGATTTCAAAATCAGTAAAGTCAACTGTGGATCTTGAACCTTGCAACTTTTACTTTAATTGGAGGAAAGTATTGTTTTTAGTATCGTGTGAGACGTGAAATTTCTTCCCTGTTCACTTATTACGCCATGGAATAGTTTTCATACCTTTTCCCCTTAATGTTTTTTCCTTAGCTGTAAAACTCCAGACATAGTATTTTTTTCTCTATAGAGAAAGGAAATCTTGTTCAGCTTTTTATGTCATTTTAGGCACTGGAAAGCAGAAACTGAGTAGGAACTGCAAAAAGGAGTTGCAAATGCAGATATGTAATTTTAGTTCTCACAAAAAGAACATACCCAAGGAATCCCTCTTAAGATCCTAGTTGGGCATATCTTTTACTTTAAAAAAAAATCTGCTATGTAAAAAATATGCCTTCGAGAGCACTAATAATGTCTTCTATAGCAGCTTAGTATTGTTTTATTTGAGGGCTTTTTAATAATATAATCCCAGTGATTATTGAGACAACCAGACCATTGTGCCAGCAAGAGTAGACATATTGGAAAGAAAAATATCTGTGAGCCTTGATTGACAGTACAACCTGCCTGCCTCTCAAAATACAACTTGTCATTAATGACCACAAAAATTAGGAAGGTCTAATCAAAGGTGCTCTTGGTGCTACCATCAGAAATGTGACCTATCTAACACAACACAGTATTAAGCATGAATATGTACAGTAACAGTGTGAGGCATTTAAGTAGCAAATTATTTTACCAAATGGAAAAGCCAGATTGGTTGAGAGCTTTGATTACTGCTCACAATATAAATGCCCTTGGGGAATCTCTTTTATCTAGTAAAGCTTTTTTTTTCTTCATATTTTTATAGTGGCCGAACCGAAGACTGGTTTGACAGCAATTTATTGACAATAGTATCCAGAAAAAGAAAAGAGAGAAAGAAAAGAGAGAGAAGAGAGAGAAAGCAGGTGTTTCTCAATAGCCTCCTCAGTTCAGATCTTGGGTCACTACCAGCATAATTACAGAAATGAAGCAATGTTCTACCCCGATTTATTTTATAAAATAATATTGCCTTTTCTTTTATCAGATTGTTTATTAATGGTACCAAGAAGAGGGTGGGGGAGGTTGTCTGGAGGAAAATCAAGATGGCAAAGAGCAGGCAACTGAGTAGAACAGGTCTTTTTCATTACTGATTATTTTTTATTTAGCTTTTGGACAATCCCTGGACCAAATCCAAGGTTAGCATATCCTTCCTGTCCTGTTCCCATTGAGAAATTTGTACTTTTGTACTTTGCTAACGAGTAAATGTAACTGAGTTTTTTTGCATATGGATGATATATCGATCTTCAGGTCGAAGTGTCATATTGCTTGAAACTCAGTAATGCCTAAAAAAAATAATGCATATAAGGCAAAATGACATAGACTATGTAAGAGTCTATATTGTATATGATACATTATTATTATTACTTAAATTAAGAGACATCAGGAATTTACCCATAGGAGTTTGTGTGGATAAAACATATGCTATACTAATGAGTTTTGATGCCTCCCTTATTGATTTCAGTGGCATAAAAGTTACTTCAAAAGATGCCAGCAATCTTGACTATTTAAACTGCTCCTTCCTAATGTATCATATTAGCACTTGCAGTGTACAAATTCTAATTTTTCAGGTGTCCATTGCAGTGTGTGATATTTCAATTTTCTGTTTTTTTATTTTTCTCATTTCGTTTAGATAGGTTTAAACAGCTAGAATGAAATATTCATTAATTTATCAAAATGGGGAATGTGGAAGGAAATCAAAATTTAAAAGTGAAGCAGAGGATTAATTAAAATTTTAAAAAATCTGTTGTACAGCATTTTAGGAACTCTAAATTGGGCTGCTGAAAATTGTAAGAGAATCATGCTGATTCTAAGCAGGAATGAGATGGAGATTTATAGATTTATATTCTGCGTGCTAACATGTGTTTAAAGTTACTATGAACAGGTGAAACAAAGCTGGAAAATAATTACATATTTTTGAATTGGGTGATCAGCTTTTTAAAAAAATGCTGACATTCTAGGCACAGATACTGCACAGCAGATTTTGTTGTGATAGTGTTGAGGCCCTAATTTGCAAGTTTTCATCCTCCTCCCAAATTCCATCTTAACACTAATTAAAAATAGGCTATCAGCTTGTGTTTTTTCCTCTTGCTATTCCATTTTTTTAGCTTGGCTAAAAAAGGATATTACTCTAATTAGACTTTGTGTTCAATCTTCATTGTGTTTATTCCCATTCCCAGAATTTACACTGAACCATCAGTGCATTCCCTTGCTATTGAGCACGCCCCCCCCCAACAAAAACCCTCTAAAAAAAAAACCCCAGCTGCTACTCCAATATCAGATTCCCACTGCTGTCTTTGCCTTTTCCTGTAGTTGCTTGAGAGCAAGGAGAAAGGAAAACTTTGGGTGGTGGGCCTAAGCTACCTACCCCCTGGGTTTCATGGCAAATACATTGGTGATTGGAGATTTTGGAGAGCTTAATAAAAGAACACTAGCTGAATTGTCGAAGAAAAATGTCACTGTGAAAACAAGGAGAACAGTATTGCTGTAGCAAAGATGCCAAAACTAGGTGCAGAAATGCTCTAATTGCTCAATATAATACTAGGGGAGATTATCTCACATGAGGAATCATCAAACAGGACTATTTTTTTTTACAACATTGAGAAGCTTTCTTATTTTTTTCTCACTGGCACAGCTGAATGTCAGCTTCTACCAAGATCTGAATAAAATTCTTATGACCAGATGGAACGGTTATCACATTAAATTGGCTAATATACTTCTACCTTACCTTAATATTTAACAACAGCCCCTCCTCCAATTAATGGAATCATTTAGAGCAACTAAGCTGTCTGTTAATAAGGAGAAATATGGTTCTGTATTTACAGTTACAGTGAGCTATTCTGATTAGCTTTCATTAATATGTATCTTTAAACTGTGTCTCTTACGATGTACTCTTCAATTCAAATACTAGTGATAGATTATACTACCCTACATTGCCACTTGTGTCTTTCTGTACTGAAGTTTCTAATCCAAGTCAAGTAGAATGTGGACGTGCTTTGCTGTAATGAAAATGAACAGCTGCATAATACAAAGGTGGAGACTGTGAACCAAAGGTGGATCTGGAATCTGTGTAGGATAAGGAAATCTTCACTCTATGATATTAGACATAAGCGATGATGACACCACCTGCCTTATTGTGTTGTACCTAAAGTGCTGCTTTACCTGTGTTTTATTCACAGTGCTGTTCATCTCATGTATTTCTTCTCAAGATCCTTAGTTAGATAATTAGTTTAGCCCTGGGTCTGAACTCCTGAGAAAACACATTGTCTGTTCTATTTTACAGGAATATAAATGTTAGATTTCAAATCTGAAATTAGATAAAGCATTGTAGAACAGTGCTTTATCAGGATTATAGAATAATGTATGTCAGCAACAGCTAACCACTCCATTTCCTAAGTATTGTTTTCTGTCTCTGAATGTAATGTTCTCAATATGTATTTTGTTTGCAGGCATGCAGAATATTTCAAATTCAAATCATTTTGTCTTTGGAGCATTCCACTTCGAATATAAAAGATTCAAAATGTTTCAAATGCAAAATGGGATTGTTCAGTTGTTTCAGAAATATTGTATTTCCAATTTCCAAATATTGTAAAAGTTGTATTGACAATAATAAAAACAGCTCATTTCACTCTTGAGATGGGAATTTCGACTAGAAGTACCGGTAGTTCAAATTTGAAACATTTTGCATGCTCCTAATTTTGATCATGCATCTCTGTAAGGTTGTCATCACTATCAAGGATCAAATGTGTATATGTATATAAAAAAATGAAAATGAATATGTGACTAGAGTTGATAACTGTTTTTCCACTTCTAAAAACCCCCAACCGTTCCTAACTGTTTTGGTGGAAAGCAGTGCAGAGAATTATGTTTAATTATTTTGTAACTTGACATTCGATGAATCTTGTGTTAATTATTCAGTTTTTCTGAATCTGAAATAAAAACCCTTTAGACTGAATGAACATTTGTCATTATTGGAAAAAGAATATGTATTCCATTATGTAACATTACAGGTAGTCCTTGCTTTAGAATCAGAATTCAACCCAAAATTTCGATTGGTAGGCTCAGCAGTTGTTAAATGAGTTTTGCAACATTTTATGATCATCTTTTTTTACCACAGTTTTTAAATGAACTTTGCTCATCAGAAGGTCACAAAAGGTGATCATATGCTCCCAGAACACTGCAACCATCATAAATACACACCAGTTTCCAAACTTCCTAATTTTGATCACAAGAGTATTGGGGATGCTGCAGTGATCGTGTGAAAAACAGAAGTCACTTTTTTCAATGCCGTTGTAACTTCAGTCATTAAATGAATGGTTGCAAGTCAAGATTTGCCTGTATTCTTAGAACTTGATAATATATTCTGACATTTTCATAATCAGAGCTATGGTAATGGAAATTTATCTAGTCATCTCTGAGTGTTGCTAAGGACAACTGTGGGGTGCAATACAAATGACACATCTCTTCACATTCAAAAGGGGCAGAGTCAGCATTATAAGGAAAAAAACAGGCCCAGGAAAGAGGCTAAATTCTCTTCATGTCAAGGTTTTCATCACTATAGAACCTCAGATTTATCTTTTCTATAGAAGGTAACTTGTAAGGAATACAGCTGCCTTAGTCAAGCCAGCTATACGTAGGTATCATATTTTTCGGACTATAAGGCGCTCCGGACTATAAGATGCACATTAGCTTTAGAAGAGGAAAACAAGGAAAAAAAATCTTTCCTCCCAGCATCCATCTGGGTATTCATCTTGCTAGTGTCCTTGCAGCAAATGGCATAGTCAGCTTCAGCACATTATCACAGCCCCAGCATGTGGCTCGTCAGGGCTTCGCTGTGTTGTACCCACCACCAGTCAACTGAGCTGAACTGCTGCCGCTGCCAGGGAACACTGTAGCCTTTGCCGCTAAGCAGCTGATCAGTGATTGGATTTGCCTCCCGGAGTATCACTGATCAGCTGTTCTAGGCGGCAGGGATCACTGCGTCCTGTTCATTCACCGCATCCTGTTCACCACTCACTGATGCCCATTCATCACGAATTGCCAGTGAATGGGTGGCAGTGTCGATCCCCACCGCCTAGAACAGCTGATTAGTGCTACACCAACCCCCTCCCCTGCCACAATATTCGCTCTATATAAGACGCACAGACATTTCTACCCACTTTTGGGGGGGAGTGTTAGGGTTAGGGATTTTATCATTGACAGGAAATATTGTTAAGTTGTGAAGACACAACTAAATAAAGGGAAGTTTCCTTTTATTAAACAAGGGATAATGGAATCTTTCCTGCAATAGCAGATAATGTGGGTTTTTATTAGTATTTGCACAGCACAATATATTGATTGTTGTGTTAAGATGTTATTACTATAAGATTATCTCTGTTATTGCTATTGTAATAAACAGGAAAGAATCTTCAAAAAACCCCTTAAGGTGTATAATAATATATTTTCTTCAGCTATGTTTCTTCTAAGCGAGATAGAAAATAACTTTCAGTATCAAAATGGGGAAATACTTTTGAGGAAATGGAGTCTATGAATGGAAGGCCCCTAAAAATCTCCATTAACAGGGGTCACTTTAACCATTTCCTAAACTGCAAATTAGCATATCTTAGCTTGAACAAAAGAAAAATGAGTTTTAACAGGCAAAAGAAGTTTATGCTTTTTGCACATTGGCTCTAATAGCTTATAAGACAACTGATACTCAAAATAGGACACAGCTACATTCAGGATACAGCTGAATATTAAATCTCAAGGCACAGGCATCTGCTGGGGGATAAAATATGTGTTGAAATATGTGTTCTACCCCATATATATTTCTATGCAAAGTCACAACACAAATATGAAAAGATGGTGCTTGAACCAGAACATGGCATAGATTTTGTCATGTTGATGTCACCATGAAAAGGAACTGACTTTTATACCTCAAACTAGAATGCTTAGATTTCTTAGATTGGGAATCCATCCCAAAATAGAATCAGTTGACTTTTTCTAATATCAGGCACCCTTCTACGATTCAAGTCCCCCAAAATCACCACCTGCAATTGTCTACAAACATGCCAGCTCCTCTGACACCTTGAAATCATATAAGGCAAGCAAGGAGATAATTTATCCTACTATGAATTAGCATAGCCAAATCAGAATAAAACAATAACAACTGCAAATTTCCCCAGCTGGAATTTGTGTGCCTTGATTCCTGGTAACTGCCTGGATATGTCCCAGCAGTTGGCAAGATTTTGGAATAGGTTTTGCCTTTAATGTGTATGGAGAAGTGTAGAATTCAACTGAATTCTACATCTGAATGAATGGAACAGAATATTCAGACCCTGAAGCTGATTTAAAAGGAAAACCTATCTTCACTTCAAGGAAAGTGAATATTTAAAAGGAAAGCTTTTACTGCTTAGCCCTCAAAGATGGTTAATGAAATCATACTTTGTTAATTCAGTTCTGGATCTGTGTAGCTCAAACTAACTGAATGGGTTGGCATTATACAACAAGGCTAAAATATAGTTTATTATATCTATGCATATAATTCTCAAAATTGTGACTCGAGTTTTGAAATAGTTGCTTTTTGAGCTTCACAGTCAATATGAGACACAATGTGGGTTTGTGATATTGGGGAAGGGGGTGAGAGAGTATGATGGAATACAAAAGGAGGTGGCTGTGAAATCCTTCAGAATTTAATTGTACTAGAGAATTCCAGGTATTGCCTCCATCTTTCAGGGAAGTGAGTGTGTGAGTCAATTTCTTTAGCTGAAGCTCAGAAAATTGAACTGTCAGCTTTAATGCAAAACATTCCTTGCCATGTATAAATGACTAGCACTTTTAAGACTGTATCGCTAGGTCTACTTATCTGGGGGCAGGTTCTGATGAGCCCAGCAGAACTTAAAACTAACTAAAAATAAATAGGATTGTATTTTGTGGCTAAAAAGAGCTTGAATACCAAAATAACTCATATCAGTGTTTCAGGCATTTGGACTATTTCCTTGCAAGTGATTTATAGTATCTTACAGTACCAGTCACTGCTGTGCCAATGTAACAGTATGAAGAAAAGCTTTCTAGGGCCACACAATGATTCTATAAATGATGATTCAAGAAGAGAACCAACCTAGAACTAAGGAGAAATTTCCTGACAGTTACAACAATTAACCCGTGAAACAATGCCTCCAGAGGTCGTGGGTGCTCCAACACTGGACGTTTTAAAGAAAAAATTAGACAACCCATTTATCTAAAATGGTATAGGGCAGTGATGGCTAACCTTTTTCTAAAGGTGTGCCAAAACTGTGTGTGTGCACTATCGCACGTGCTTACCCACCCACCCACGTGTGCATGCGTGTGTGACCCCCCTCCTACGCATGTTCAGGTGACCCCCCCACATGCGCACATGACCTTTGCAAGCCGGGGGGAGGGGGGGGAGAGAATTTTCCTGGCCTTCCGGAAGGTCAAAAATCAGCAGGCCGGTGCACGCATGCGCGCCGGAGCTGAGGGCTGCTATGTTGGCAAATATGGCTCCGCATGCCACCTTTGGCATGTGTGCCATAGGTCTGCCATCATGGGTATAGGGTTTCCTGTCTGAGTAGGGAGTTGGCCTAGAAGACCTTCAAGGTCCTTTACAACTCTGTTAAACTACTAATGAGGAAACAGCCACAATTTATTATTAACTGAACAACTTGGAGTATGTCTTCCACCTTGTGGCTTGACAGAGAAAGTACAATTCTACTACCCTCTTTCCTGAAGGCAAATACAGAATATGCAAACTGAGAGTCCATGAACACTGGTATCCATTTCCTAATCCTGCTCTATAGCAGTTTTCCTCTTCCAATGTTTTATTCTGTGTGGTCTAGAAATTGGATGGAGAAAAAAATAGCAGGATGGCTAGCAAAGATTGAAGCAAGATATTAACAAATTAAATACTAAATACCACTCCAGTGGTATTTCCAGGGTGGCCTCACAGGCCAAATCTAAGTACCTGGCAGGGACGTGCAGTCATGGGAGGCAGGGGAAGCAGGGCCTCACCACTGTTATGATGAAAAGAAAAAAAAAATTAAAGGAAAAAGGCAGAGGTAGTTGCTGCCAGAGCAGTGGATGACTCTGCTTAGTGCTAACTGCAGGGGGAGGCGTGAGAACCACGTGCCTCCTTTGCATAAGGAATTTTTCGCCTTTTAACCCTTGCTTAACTCTAAGCAAAGGTTAAAAGGTGAAAAATTCCTTATGCAAAGGAGGCACATGGTTCTCTCGCCTCCTGCTCTGGCAGCAGCAGCTCTTGCCTAAGTTGTCTTTTTCTTTTTACATTTTCATCATGGCGGACAAGAGGAGAGTTGAAATCAGGGGTGGGTTTCAACCGGTTCACGGCGGTCCCTGCGAACCGGTTGGTCGCCGAACCCGGAAGTAAGTA